TGCCGGGCGCCAGCGAGACCCTGAGCCAGTGCTGCCGGCGCGGCTTCCGCATGGGGGTCGTCTCCAACTTCGACAACCGGCTGGAAAACATCCTCTGCCAGTGCAACCTGCGGCACCACTTCGACTTCGTCCTCACCTCCGAGGTGGCGGGCTGCGCCAAGCCGGACGGGAGGATCTTCGAGCAAGCGCTGCGCCTCGGCGGGGTCCCGCCCCCGCAGGCAGCTCACGTCGGGGATGACTACAAGGCGGGACTACAGCCGGGATTACAGGGCAGCGCGGGCCGTGGGCATGCACAGCTTCCTGCTCCGGGCTGCGGGGCAAGGAGAGGAGCCGGAGGTGCCTCCCGAGCACGTCCTGCCCACTCTCAGCCACCTCCTGGCTCTTATTGAGAAGGGGTAGCTATGTGGGGGAGGGCCAGTGCTGCTGAGCCATGAACCGGTCCCAGCGTGGGATTTCTTGCTGCTGGTTGGGCAGGGAAAAGAAACAAGTTCTTCCAAGGGCAGGGAGCAGCGTTGCCTGTAGAGCAGGAGGGGGTGTCCTGCAATAAAGTGTACCTGACACTCAGCATTGCCGCTGCTCCTGCTTTCACAGCTCTCAAACACCGGGCGAGGTGAGCGGTGCTGTCTGCCCCAAACTTTGTTTGCTGCGGCCCTGGGTCAAGCTGTGTTCCATAGGCTCCTTCTGGTGGGAGGGAAGGAGGCAGGCATTGAGGTTTATCCCTTCACAGCCACCCTGGGGAGCGGCTCCAGCACCCCTGGGTTGGTCTGTCCTGGATTGGTCTGCCCATGCAGGGCACCCGCATGCAATCTTGCTCACCTCAGTGTACCCCAGGTTGGCCACCTCACCAGCCCCACCACCCTCTTCCCAGCAGTGCCTGCAAAACAGAAGTTGGGCAATTTCACTTCATTTAATATATTGCCAATTAAACTGTACCAATTTGGGCATTGAGTAATAAAGTTGACAAATTTTAAACAGGGACGCACCTTTCCTGCCCTTGGCTCAACATCAGTCCAACCTGTCCCCTTCCTCCAAGCCTACTATCAGCTCCCTGGATTTTTGCCACATCACACTGAACCCTCAAACTCTTGGCAAGGTAAGGAGCAGCTCAGGTGGGGGTTCTGCTCCTCCTTGTTTTCTCCTCCTCTGCTCTGACATGGGCTCCTCCATGGGCTGCAGCCTCTCAGGATACCCTGCCCTGGCATGGATCCCCACACGTGACAGCCCCCTGCACTGTCCCTGCTCCTCCCAAAGCATGTTACCAGCTGTGTCCCAATGATGTCCCTTTCCATGTGCCTCCTCCCTTTTCTTCCTCCAAACACGTCCAGAGCCATCAAGTCAAGCAGGAAACATTCCCTATCATCTCCCCTGTTTTCTGAAGCCCAGTGGGCTGGGTGCTGCCCTTGGTCAGAGAGGAATTAAGTAACAGATCAAATGGTAGAGCCAGGCATCACCTCAGCCCCTCACCCCGGCTGACACAGGGTGGGTAGTCCTCTCGGAAGAAGAGAAAGCTGCTGTCAAACACATGGAGAACAGATGTAGTCTGAAGGCAGGTCCTGCGTGGGCTCCTTTCCCCCACAAAGATACTGTATAGTGTATATACAACCACTGTACATACAATTGCATATTCACTCCCCCCAGCGAGCACAATGCTTCACTCAATGGACAAGCGAGATGCTCTCGTGTGCCACAGCGAAGACAGGGTACAGGGGCTCTGTGAAGGTTTCCCTGTGGGAGAAGAGGATGGTGCAGGAATCAGGGTCATAAAAGAGCACCTCCCCTCCTGCCAAGTCAAGCAGCACCCCGATCTCTGACGGAGCCTTGAGCAGCTCCACGGCCTGCAGGCGCCCGGCGTGCAGGAACCTGAACTCCCTGTCGTAGCGCGAGAAGACCCAGGAGGCAGCGTTGAAGCCCAGGCGGGCTTCATTGGCAGAGCCCTTCCGTGGCAGCGAGCTGTAGCAAACCCCCAGCTTGTAGACCCTCCTGCCAAGTCAAGCAGCACCCCGATCTCTGACGGAGCCTTGAGCAGCTCCACGGCCTGCAGGCGCCCGGCGTGCAGGAACCTGAACTCCCTGTCGTAGCGCGAGAAGACCCAGGAGGCAGCGTTGAAGCCCAGGCGGGCTTCATTGGCAGAGCCCTTCCGTGGCAGCGAGCTGTAGCAAACCCCCAGCTTGTAGACATAGCTCTTGTCCACGCTGATCCTCCATGCACAGACTCCGGAGTGGAAACCTGCAGTAGCCAAAGCGTTGGGCCAGTGGTCAAACCGCTCTGGGCCACCCAAGTCCACCTTTGCTTTCTTGGGGCTGAAGGTCAGGGTTTTCTTGTCTTCCGACAGGCTGAGGTGGGGGCTGAGAGTTTTCTCATCGATGTGAATCTCCTGTGAGCCTGCAAGAGGAGCCACGAGGTGAGCACCAACTCGGTGGCCACCACCTGAACAAGTCATGGCCATCAGAAACACAATCAATCACAACCACCCTCCCCTCACACATTGTTCCTCAGGACCCATCTGCCCTCCAGGGTAACCAGGGCTAGGGACTAGCACAGCAGCTCCTCACAGCTTCCCCTCTCAAACTAGATCAACAAAGCCCAGACTTCACCAGGCATCTCTTCCCTCCTTGCACCAGAAGTCCTGCCAAGTCAGAGAAAATCATAGAATCCCAGCCTGGTTTGTGTTGGAAGGGACCTTAAAGCTCATCCAGTTCCAACCTCTGCCACGGGCAGGGACACCTTCCACTAGAGCAGGTTGCTCCAAGCCCCTGTGTCCAACCTGGCCTTCAACACTGCCAGGGATGGGGCAGCCACAGCTTCTCTGGGCACCCTGTGCCAGCGCCTCAGCACCCTCCCAGGGAAGAGCTTCTGCCTCAGAGCTCATCTCAGTCTCCCCTCTGGCAGCTTAAAGCCATTCCCCTTGGCCTGTCCCTACAGGCCCTTGTCCAAAGCCCCTCTCCAGGTTTCCTGGAGCTCCTTTAAGCACTGGAGCTGCATTAAGGTCTCCGTTAAGGAGCCTTCTCTTCTCCAGGCTGAAGAAGATGCTGCTCATCTTACTCTGATCCTTGCCCAGATCCCCACAAATCAGAACTCAGTGGGTTTGGCTCATTCTGCTTTTGGATGCAGCCCAAACCGTAGCTCCTCTGTGCCCACTATGAGTGAGCAGGACCTGACTTCTCCTCCCCCAGCCCGGGTGAGCCAGGAGCCTGCACAAGGAGGGAGAGCTGTTTGCAAAAACCTGAAAAGCTGGAAATACAGGAATGAGGAGGAATGGAGACGGCAGGGGAGGGAAATCCCTTTCCTCCTATAAAGCCCAACTTATTTATCTACCCATCCTGGGTGTGCCAGAAGCAGTAGTGAGAGGCAGCACCAGGCATTAGAGATGAGCACAGCCAAGATTTGGTTTTGCTGTGAATGAAGGGGCTGCCCTTGCACCACAGCAAAAACCCAGCAAGCTGCAGCCTGTGGTGAGAGCCAGGCTGGCTGCAGGACACTGGCACCCACCAAGGCTCTGCGCTACTGCAGACCCATGGGTGACAGTACCCAGCACTGCTCACCCTACCCTGGTTGCATGAGACCCCTCAGCAGGTCTGCATATCTTGTGTGAGTCCTGAATAACCACTCAAGTGTCTCCCTTGCTCTGTAAATTCGAGACAAGGCTGAAACCCAACTGACTCACCTGCTCCCAGGGGATGGAGTTTCTACCTGCAGGTAGCCCTCCTTGCCCTGCCTTCCTCCACCCTCACTGCATCCATTTTAGGTCTTAAACCACCAAGGAAACAAGGCTGGAGCAGGTGAGTCATTTGCCAGCAAGAGTTCTACCATATCACAGAACACAGCATGGTTTGGTTGGAAGGGACCTTAAAGCTCATCCAGTCCCAACCCCTGCCACGGGCAGGGACACCTTCCACTAGAGCAGGTTGCTCCAAGCCCCTGTGTCCAACCTGGCCTTGAACACTGCCAGGGATGGGGCAGCCACAGCTTCTCTGGGCACCCTGTGCCAGCGCCTCAGCACCCTCACAGGGAAGAGCTTCTGCCAAGAGCGCATCTCAATCTCCCCTCTGGCAGGTTAAAGCCATTCCCCTTGTCCTGTCCCTACAGGCCCTTGTAAACCCCAAACATAAGTAGTACAAAAGCCTGGTTGCCAAGTGAAGACATCAAAGGAATCTGTTTATTTTTGAGTATGTAGTGAAGGTTCTGTTTCCTGCTGGTTTGCAGGTTTTTGAGAGGCTACAGCACAAACCCTCAAAGCCAGGAATTTACTGTTTCCAAGCAGATAAACAAGACTGATGCCTGTTCTACCGCCTCTGGGAGGAGGGAGCACCAAGTGAAACACAACATTACTGTTTCTGGAAGAAAGCTAGGACCACCACAGTTAATACTCAATCTCTAAGGCTGGGTCCTGGGTGGACTATGGACTAACGAGGTACGCAAGGGTATGGCAGGCATCCTTGGCATGCAGTAGTGGCACGCCAAATGGAACCACACACAAAACCCCACCCAACTAAAGCCAAACAGAATGAAATGTCTGTTTAAGAAGTGCACCACTACAAGAGCTGAATGCCTGCGAGTAATTCCATTTCACAAGGAGGCTGCTGGGAAAAAAACATATATCAAAAAAACATATGAAAACAAAGAGAATCATGGAAAGGTTTCCTGCTTGACTTGATGGCTCTGAACATCTGCTGAGATGTTCCAAGTACAAGAGTTTGCACAACTGCCAGCACTCAAGACACTCAAACAGAGGGAAATTAATCCCAAAGGAAGAGCTACACCAGCGTTTGCAGTAAAAGAAACAAATGATGATGGTGTTTGGTAGCACAGCTCCTCAAGCTAACACTCCAAACCACAAGAGCAATAAAAGCCAGAAGTGCAGACATTTGGGAAGGACTTGGACACAGGAAAACTGGAAACCACTCATCAGCATCAAAAGTGAGATGAATAAAAATCAGAAGTTAATGCAGAAGCTTTGAAAGGTCACCACAGGACTTGTTCACTAGGCAGCAAACAGGACAAATGTTTTCTAGTTGTGAAGGACATTGCCACCTTTGAGGAACAAAGGATACAACTGAAATGCTCTAATGATGGCCTGAAAGCAGGAGCAAGAGCAAACGTTTCGCAACCAGCCACTCGAGCAAAGCACAGCAGGAAGCAAAACATCTCCCTGCACAACACAGCCAACACCAGCCTGGTAGAACCTGCCCAGAGCACGTCACTGGCCTGACAAACACCTCCCATGGAACAGCAAGAGCTGAACCTGATTACAAACGTCTCTAATGAACCACCAGGGGTGCAGAGCCACGATCTCCCCTTAGGATCAGAATGCTACTGATCTTCTCCAGCAGGTGAGAGCATCTCACTGATGCCACACAGGTGAGTTCACCCTCTTTTAAAGTCACCAGCAGGCCAATGCTGGACAGAGTGAAGAGGAACTTGGTGACAGAGATTCCTCCAGCAACACCAGCTTCAGTGCTCACAGTGATGCAAGAAACAGCTAAAGGAACCAACTGGTGCTAAGCCACAGACCTGATACAAGGCACAGTCCTTCCAAACTCCAGTTCTCCTGGCCACAACCAGCTGCTCGAAGCCCCTGTCTCCCCTCCCCAACCATTGCTGCTGCCCCCTAGGCTGGGGGCTCCAAGCAACTGGCAGAGGCTGGGTAGGACACAGCGTCAGGATGTTCTGACACAGCATCAGGGTGTTTCTTTGGGCACAATGTCAGCGGGTGAACAGGAATGACAGTCCTTCCAAACTCCAGTTCTCCTGGCCACAACCAGCTGCTCGAAGCCCCTGTCTCCCCTCCCCAACCATTGCTGCTGCCCCCTAGGCTGGGGGCTCCAAGCAACTGGCAGAGGCTGGGTAGGACACAGCGTCAGGATGTTCTGACACAGCATCAGGGTGTTTCTTTGGGCACAATGTCAGCGGGTGAACAGGAATGCCAGCAGAGAACAGCAGAGGCCCACAGTCGATGCAGCAGTGGACTCTGAACACACGTCTGGTTAAAGTTTAACTTCAGCGACTCCTGTGGCTCTAAGATTCCCTCCGCCACCTCTGTCCTAGCAAGAAAACAAGAGGTATTTTGAAATACAATGATTTATTGACCAGAGCTGGGAGGTGTTTGTAAAGATCACCAGGAGGTATGGCAGAAATGCGAGCTGGAGCAGTTGCAAGAGGAGTGCAGAGGAACTAC